GGCCAAAGGATGTGCCCATAGGGTCTGTATTCAGGCGTGGGCATTCCTGGAAACACCAATGTCTGCCGAACTGGGCACCAGATAGAGGCAGGAGCGATCAAGATCTGGGGATCCATAATTCGCACAAATTCACAGAAGTGGTTCAACTCGTCCGTGGCAAGCCAACCCGCATGTAAGTTCATGTGGTCAAATCTAGACTCAATGCGGGCAGTGATAACTTGCCGCATGGTAGCACTGGACAGAGGCAGCGGTTGAGGAGGTTCAGGTGGTTGAATGTAGTGCATCGGAAATGCAGACAAAAGATCATGCTCTGATGCTGGTCGTCCTTGCTCCGTTGCAGTCCAGACAGCATGGAAGAAGTAGCGCCTAAGTTTGGCCGCAAAGAGAGCGACAGCCGGTGGTGCTTGAGCTTCACGCCAGTCTTCAATCGCAGCAGCCACAACCATCCGAATAAGATCCTGTGTCTCCGGTGATGGGACATTGAACTGACCGGTAATGTCCGGGATGTGATCAAAGAGGTTGAGATCAGTTGCCCACTTGTAAATCAACTGCCACCCGCACAAGTGTGGGATAAACCGCTCACCATCCGCTTGAAAGGAAATGCGGTTGAGTCCAATGTCCATACGTCGGCCAACAATTCGCACCAAAGGATGATGTAAATGCAGCGGAATCTGATGGAGCTTGATGTCAAGCGAACTTTCCTTCCGAAGAACCTCGATGGCACCCCAGTGGGCTTGCAACAAAACCGGGATGATTGTTGGCTGATCGAAGGCAACATCAAGGTCACCATAGGGGCTCTCCTCGAAGTCACTGGCGGACACGTCCCAGTACACCGGTGGCGTGAAGTGGATCGCATGGTCAGACGCCCAATCAAACATCTGGGTGATGTAGAAGAGCTCATCAGATGCTAGCCACCCATGAGTGTTGATGGAATACTCAGCACGTTGCATGAGGTCAGCACCGGCTTGAAGAGTGCATGGGAACCCTTGGTAGCCATGGTGGCCACCCGACCTCACAGGAGCTCCAGGCAAGAGGACAATTCTGTCAAGGTCAGCAAGACAGTGCACTGCATCATGTGCCAACCTGTTCCCATTGATCGTAGAAATTGCCAGCGGGTTGTGATGAATATTGTAAATTGTCTGAGCTGACACATACCCAAAATTCCTGTGTGCGAGGAGGGGTGCAGTGGTACCCTCTTCGTACAAAAGTGAAAGCACTTCGGAAGAAGAAGGGTTCGGAATCTGCTGGATCAGAATGCTCTGACACACTCCAGAAGGACCTTGGTCTTCAATCAATCTGAAAGACATGTGATGTCCAACCACTTGCGTTCGCACAAAAGCCTTGAAGGCCTCTCCAGCCCCATTTGGAATGGTGGCAGTGAGCGTAGCAGCAATGTCTGGGCACAAGATCGCGATGTCAAAAGTAATCGCCCCTGAAGGCCACACAATTGACTCCAAGGCACTCAAAAAGATGTCAAACTCACGGGTTGTGACAATCTGATCAATGCCCGCAATCTCAATGACAATGGTCTCTGCACATACGGTAGTTCCCAGCTCTGGCACTGGAGCGAAGGCAACGGTGGGCGAAATGTCTACCTGAGCCGGGGAAAGATTCGGCAGGTGGTCACTGCGAGGTTCATGGGAGCTGAAATTCACAGAACCAATACAACAGTATCGAATCTTGAGAGTCCAATTGCACTCACGAGCATGAAACATGCCTATGGTCCAATGTGATGATGACTGATGCTCACTATGAGAAAGGGCGAAAGCACGAAGTAAGGTGGACGGACCTTTGAGGGCACGGTCGAACAGCTGGAAACACGAATCGGAGGGCTTGGCACAAAACGTACAGTCAATGCCCTGTTCTGGAAACTCGAGACGAACGCGCAGAGGGCCGTCGGAACGAATCGGATCGTTCATAGACACATATTTTGCAATGGCATGAGATACTTTGATGAAGTGGACAAATTCATCTTGTTGGAAAAGCATGGCATTGTAGCTTGTAAGACGTGCAGCCCAAGCTTCATGCAAAATGCGCTGTACATCAAATCTTTCAACAAAGGCGGCTTGAAGTGCTAATAACAACGGCAACAAACTGTGCGTGACAGTGATTGCATTGCCGACACATCGGAAAGCAGCCTGTAGGTTTGTTGGCAGAATAATTTCTTCACAAGCTCCAAACAAGGAACAGAATCGGGCAGGGTCGAAAAAGGAGATTCCCCTTGGATGGTCCTCCAGGGCAGCAAATACCCCTTTTGCAGCAATGTGAGCATCATGTAGCCTATGCTGGGCAGAGTAAGAAGCACACAACGTAGGGAGGGGTTCATCATGGCGGGGAAACCGAGCCTGCAAACATTCAATCTGAGAACAGTTCGTAGACAAAGCTGACCTCTTGGCCGGAGGCAGCAACTTGACTGACCCATAAATTTCCAAAGCTTGCTGGTCCAATCGAAGCTGATTTGCCCAGATCTGTGGAATGTCAAACTCAAAGGCCTGATCATGCCAAGCGGAACGAGGGGTAATCGAAGGTGTCAACTGCACATCGAAAAAGGCGGGTCGGCAGTCGCATCTAATCCATGCAGCCAACCACCTTGTGCGCATGTGATTAGCAAGGTGGTGGTGAGGAGTACATTGTTGAAAAATGCGAACAAATCCGAACTGCTTGAACAAGGCATCAACAAAACAGAAGTGGGGATGATGCATGATTTCGTCAACGCACTCAACAACAACAATGTTTGCTTGCAGCACTGCACACGTTTCGATGGCCTCGACAAAGGCCCAACCATTGGGGTGGTTAAGACCCTGAGAACGCCCTCCCTTCGACCACGTGGGACACGGTGGGGACAAAGTAACCACAGTGTTAGCACTGTTGGCAATCAGATGGAAAAAGGTCCAGTCCTCAATGCCAGCACAAATCCCAATGTGATTGCTTGGATTCCACAACAATTGAGGAGCAATTGGTGGGCGATACACCTGAGAACTGTGCTTGGTAGACCACAAGGTCATAACCTCTTCATCATGATCAATGTAAAATTGCTGGCCGACACAATGTCCACAGTCAACCCTGGATAGGAAGGAGGCGGCTTGAGACCACCCCGAGAAGGCACCACAAAATCCGTGAACGAAGTTGCACGCAAGATCATCGTCGAACTCAGGTCTTGGAATGATAACAGTGTCATCGGCAAAGTACCACTCAGACCCTGTGCACGGAGCAATAGGGTCTCCAAGACACACCACCTGCGCACCTGAAATGAGCCTGAAAGATCGTAACCCAATTCCATTGATATGGATTTTGACTTGCTTGGGGAAATCTGAATCCAGCTTAAAGCCAACTCCTGGGGCATGGCGAAGCAAGGAAAGGGTAAAGTCATTCGACCCACAGTCTTGAACCACTCCAACACAACAGAACCGCCCTTTCAATTGAAGAAAGAAACCAGCTCGATTGGATGAGTCCAGAAGTGATTGCATCCTGAAAGCATAGGGAGCATCTAATCCAGAACAGTCCATGGCGATCACAGGTCCTATCTAAGCACGTGCAGCACAAGCGCGAGGCGGGGCAAGTGAACCGGTGGGTCCAACCTTTGTGGACGGAGCACGCTCCTTGGGAAAGGAGCCGCACTCCCCTGGGTGCCCGTGACCCTGAGCTGAAGGTTTTGAGCCCGACAGCTTTGGAGATCCTCTTCATATGGGGGGTTATTGATCAGGAGTCTACATGATCCCTTCAGCCACGATTCACCCTCCCACGCTGCTTCAACGATTTCATCCAACACGGAAGTCTGCACCACCGGATGTTCCACAGCAGTCCACCCTGAAAGAGGGTGACCCCGAGCTCACAAACCTTAGTTGTTGAGCACCCATTCTGTTCAAGAATCCATTATCGTCAGGTAGGTCATCCATAGATACTACCTTTAAGATCCTTTGAGTACACATACTGGGGGCCACCACGTCTTTCTAGCCTCTTTGTGCCGGACAAACTGAGGGATCTGCACTGGGAGCTCAGAGCCTAGGCCTGAGCTCGGAGCTTTCCTCCAAGTCTGGAAGATTCACATGGAACCTGAAAACCACCTGGTTAATGGAGGAGGCAAAAGGTCCATGCCATCAGGTTCCATGTAGGTCTCATCCAGGATCTAATCGATCCCGAAGCCGAAACCGGTCTCATGATGCTCTGAGCACTGGACTGTGGACTCTGAGTCGGGCAGGGGCCGTTTCAGTGATCTTCCTCACGTCGTTGGGTGTCGGAAGTGACACGTACCGTATGTCATGGCAGCCACTTCTGCAACAGTACCCATCCACACCACGTGTCTACCGGCATATTGACCGATCAAGGGGGGGTGGTTGATTTCAGGGGTCAATGTCTAGGTTTTTTATATTCCGGTCCCAGTTCCATGGAGTTTTCCGGGGTGGTTTTCCACCTCCCAGCTGTGTCTCGAGACCCCTAACTGTGGGGAGGGGTCTCAAAACTGCTCTCCTGCTTACTTTCCTGCAAGCAGTACCCAAAAGTTGAAAATTCCGGTACTTTTCTTGGAAACCAAAACTGTTTCTATCCTGTCTTCACCTTGATTGAGATCGAGATGCTCAACATTTATTGAATCTATGATCTACATGATGTAAATGCTCAACATGTCCAAGCAGGTCATGTGATTCTGGTTCCAACACTACTCTGTTCGATGGAGAGTATAGCCAGTTGCTCAGGTGTTCCGCTTTTTGACTATTCGATCGATTACTCTACACTCTGACTCGCTAACATGGAAGTGGAAAACCCCCTGTTGGTACAGGAAAGTAGTCTTCCAAGTGACCATTCTCCACTTCCATGTTAGTGAGTCAGAGGGTAACCTTATTATCCAAGGAGCTTCCAGCGCAGATCCATTTTGTACATGTGAGACACAGATCCCGTGCGCACGGTTTTTTGCCGTTGAGCCACATTGGGCTTCTTGGCCTCGAAGCAATGACTCAACTATCCAAAGGACTTGTAAAGTTACTCCGGTATACTCAATCCTTATTATCGGTATTTATTGGCAAGGTCACCCACAACGTCAGCTCCCTAGGCCCTAGGTCACTCCGTCACCACAATCCCTTCTTCTTCAGGAGCTTCAGTTTCAGCCTGCACCCATGGTCGGAAACACATCGAACGGTGCAAGAAAGACAAACAAAGTACTAAGTCAAGGAACAGTCAAGGAACTGCATCTATATATAGCCTGCTTCTTCCCCTTTGATGAGCTATCTGAGGGCCTACAATATCCAACCTACTGTAAGTTGAACATGAAACAGGTTAAACATCCACTCCGCGTTTTAGGACAGGGGGCCCAAACCAGCATTCTGTTGAAAAACCTCGGTCCGTCGGTCCAATGGGTGTGTCGCTCAAATACCCTGACACGACCCATGGGACTGCCATAGGACTGCCGATCAATTGATCCCTCAGTCAACCACCCCAATGTAGGCATATATGGCAGTCCCATGGCGTGTCGCTCAACCAGGGAGGACCGACCCCCTGGCTATTCACGACGCCCGGAAGGGTTCGGTGGTGAAGGGACATGGAAGCACCGGTCTATACCCATTCAAGAAATGGGATCACGCGGATTCAAAATACATCAATATATATATATATACACATCAAAGTAACCATCCCACTGAATCGCAATGATTTTCGGGGATGTTTTGTGTCAAGTGCCCATTTTTGTAGAGCCTTGGAGGTCCTTCCGCTCCCGCCCCCACTTCGCAGGATTCTCCTCCTCTTCTGGCGGCGGCTCAAAGAAGGGCGGCTCCTCTCCGTCGTAGAGCCAGATTGCCTGCAAAGTCGCCGTCACCCGTCACGACTCACTGCAACGATCGGCCCAAAAGCAGGGGCCCCAAGGCATCCAAGCGCGGCCCCAAGCGGCCTTTCAGTAATGGGTGAAACTATCAAACATATCTCCAATCTGCATTGGATCTTGTTCAACTTCCTGAGGCTTAAGTTCTATACAGGTTTGGTCTGTGCTTTCTTGCGTTGCTTTGCTTCCCCCCTCGTTTTCGTCGACCCCCCGTCGTCCCAATGTGGCCGTAGGCCTTGTCGCGGCGGAGGTGCTCAGCGGCGAAGAGGAGCGCGGTGCGCTCCTGGGCTAAGGCTTTCAGCACCACCTGGCAGCGGCTCATGGCGGCTGGCGGATCCGGTGGTTCACTCCACGGCTCAGCGGCGTTTTGGGCGGGCTTGGAGGCTCGGTCTTCGCCAAGAAAACCGGCCCAGTATTCGGCATTCGCAGCTAGAGGTCTATGGTCTACTACAAACTATAAAGTTGAGATGATTTCCAAGGGGCAACTGAAATATCATTGATGATGTAACTGGCAGAAACATACCAGTTACGGAAGCTTCCTTCTTGGTGCTGAGTGTGCGTCGGGGCCGGCTGTGCCAAAAGAAAACAAATCAATACTTTTTCCCATGAGTGCCGCAGGTCCCCAGGTCGCTGAACAGGCTTTTGGGGCCACTCAACTTCTCCTACCCACACAAAAAAACTACCCCTTCTGAATGTACGTTCTTACTTAGGCAGTTCCAATTCTTACTTGTACTTGGCGGTTCTTACTTAGGCGAGCTCAGTTTCTTCGTCTCCCCGTCCGCCCCGTCCCTCCGCGAGGCGCCCGCGGGGCGTGTCACGCCTCCCGATCGCTGCGCAGCTCGGCGCTGGCGAACTGCAGCGCACGGCCGGAGTGGCCCACGGCCTCGAGCACCTGAACGGTCGAGCTCCAGGAGACTCAGCTGGAGGCCACGAGGCGGCCAGGGTTGATGAAGCAACAGCATTGGAGCTCCATGGTGCTGAGATTTCCAGTGAAGTGGTCTTTGGGTTTTGAACTGAATCCCAAACCCGTCTGTTGATATCTATTGAGCACTCTGAGATTTCGCCCGAAGTTGGGAGGCGCTCAGGATCACTAGCTGAATGGTGCCATCACCTTCACCACGTAACTAGACACCGTCTGACTCGTTTTTCTGACTCTCCATCGGCACCCGGCCCGTCCCCGAAATGGTGGGTTGCTTCCTCCATGGGTGCGTCTGAAAAATAGGGAGACCTTCCAGGCGTTCCGACCCCCCTTGAAGGGTTCGGAACACATCGACCAGAAAACACCCAGCCAGGGCCAGGAGGTCTCCCAAAATGCACACCCATGGGTTGGACCTGTTGGAGGGTCCTTACGGGCCAAGTTCTGATGGGGCAAACATGGGCAAAGCCAGGTGCAGAAGTCTAGACAGCAGCGACATCTATTTTAGCCAAAGAAAGGCGAAGTCGAGACTCGAGACAAGCAATGGGAGGGCATGCTTGGGATGGCTGAGATCGTTTAGGATATGCAACGTCAGGGATTGCACCGTACTCTAGATGGCCGGGACGTTGTCCAATATTCCCACTCTGTTTGAACTTCCAGGAGCGCGCGCAGAGAAGGACCTACAGAAAACCTCGAGCAATGCACACGATTCACATAGTTGCCATGGAACAACTTGTCAATGTTCAACGTAATATAAATATCATATATTAATAATATATATACACCAAAAAATATGCTAATATGCTATTATGCTATAGTATTGTATACCGTTACACATATTATGGTTCATCGTGGTTCTATACCGGTAAGGCTGTATACGGGGTCATCTAAACCTCAGTCCACCAAAGCTGCCATTTGCCACCCATTCCCGACCGAGGGTGCGGCGATGTCTTTGTCGGCTCGCAGCTCCTGGCTGCGGCATCGAGAGTGACGTTTGCATCCCCTCTGCCACCTCTGCCATGTCTGGCCATGTCTGGCAGGGTGGAGATGCGAATCTACTGCTGAACACCTCCGTCTGGGAGCCCAGCGAGTCTTTGAGGATACCAATTCAATGTATGCCCAGCTGAAAGAAGGGGCTTCATACCTCCCTCTACAGCATGGGATGCCAAATCGCGCTGCTGGGAAGAGAAGAAAAAAGGTCTTGATGTGTCTAGACTATTCTAGACTTATTTACTAAGAGTCTTTCTGGATTCTTACCTCAAATCTGTCCCGTACGGTCCATACCCACTAACAGTAACACTGTTTCACACGGCTTCACATCCCAGCTCACGTCCCAGCTGCACCTAGCGGCGCCCGCTTCGGCAGGTCGAAAAAAAACAGGTGTCCTCTGGCAGGAACTCCAAAGCCATGCCGCTCACCTCCAATGCCTCCATGGCATCCTGGAGCTGCTGGATGCAGCTGCTGAGCAGCTGGATGCGGCCAGTCGGGGAGTCGGGTGGGGTTGGGTGGAACACGGACTCGTCGTGAGCGAGCAGAAAGATCGAAGATAGCAAAACGGTGACCTCACATAGAATGGTAAACATGATTGATAGTACAAAGACTAATCTACTGTTGTGGGGAGAATGTGGGAGATCACATTGGGATGAAGTGCATGCCACTGCAGTAAGGTTCAATGTGAAAACCACGGAGAATCCAGGGGGATCTGCCTTTTGCTCAGTCTATTTGGTGTGCTTTCTGTCTCCCTTTTTCCACACACCAAAATTCCGGTTCAAGCCAGGCAAACCCGAGTCGCAAGCTGATTCAGTACGTCCATGCAAGTTCGACCCCCAAATCGATAGAAGTTATTAGAAGTTCGTCGAGTCGTAGATCCCCACGTAGAAAAATGCATTGAACCACTTGGCAACCGTGCCACGGTCATCTATTTGGGGATCACTATAACCTTAGCTCACCGTGGGCTTGCCATGGTTCCGGCACCGCTTGCCACGCATCGAGATGCACCGAGACGGGTCACGTTGTGACCACAGCCCCGCTTTGTGTTCGCCCATATGTGCCTAAATATATGGACCCCTGAAATCAACCACCCCAAGTGATCAGCAGTCCTATGCCAGTCCCATGGAGTGTCTGGGTAAATAATGGTAAATAATGGTGAATGCCAGCCCCTATATCCCATGACCAGGGGGCCCAGTGGATGATCATGGTTCTAACATGCGTGATTGTTGCGTTATTCTTTGACCGACTGTTACAGGTAATGGGACATACCCAAAACATATATTTCAATGATCAACAACTCTATACTTCGTTTTTCACCACTTCTAGATTGACCTTCCACATAGGTCAACCACAGCCATTTCCTGGTCTTGACCCACAGCCATTTCCTCTAATTACAGTAGTACTCCCAAGACTACGCCACCATCGGTGCCCCCTCTCTGCTCACTCCGGAGCGCTTCGCCTCTCTGCTCTGCCACTCGGCGAAGCGCAACACACCGAGGTCCTGCCGTCGGCCGGTCACTCGGTACACCCATACACGACACACGACACATGGCATAGGACTGCCGACCACACCAGGTGTGGTTGGGTGAGGGTCAATGGGGCGCTTTTCATCTTCCAGTCCCAGGCTGGTCGTGTTTGGGCAACACATGAATTTCAGACTACGATGGGCACTGGCACCCCACGATGTCTTTGAGTTCAGATCAACCAGCTCTTGGGGATTGTGCCATCCACTCTCGGTCCATTTTACCCCCAATCATACACACAAAATCAGTTCAGGCGCTTGAGGAATGGTGGCAAACACGTCATTCAAAAACCACCAAACCTTCTCCACGTGCTACTGCTATCTCCGGTTCCCAGTGTAACATGACCTACCAAAAAATATCTAAAGATTCATCCCAACCTCCTCCAGATCTCGTGACCCTTTTCCCATCAGCCAGCCAGCAGCCAGCCCGTGCCCGCGCACGCCTCCCTGGCCAGGCGCAGCATGAAGTCCTTGCTCCGCCAGGTGCTTGGGTCCAACTGCTCAAGCACCTGGCGGTTCTGCACCTGAAGGATCCGTTTTTAGGGCGCTGTCGAAGACGTGGAGTGGTGTGGAACCCGTGGCGTGCGCCGTGCTGTCTGCGCCTCGTCAAAGGGGATTGCCGACATGATCCGGTGAAGGTAGGGGGATCAAGAGCGAAGGATCCATGAAGGATCCATTTGTAACTCTTCCTTGGGTTTATCCTACCAGGGCCCAGTATGGCCCAGTGGATGATGAGGGTTGGTAAAGGCGTTGTTCAAACATTGTTTACTGACTGTTATAGGTAATACGGTAATGGGACAAGCCCAAGGGGTCAGTGTTGTTCGTTTTGGGGCCAGGTTCCGGTACAGCACAGTTCTTTGTCTTCCCCGAACTGTTGCTCATTCTGCTGCCGCTGAACCATGCTGAACCAATCAGCAAGGAGGACTAGGGCTGCTCTATACACGAAGGATAGCTTTCAGCTCTGTGACACCGGTTTTCAGCACCGGTTTTCAGCTCTGTGACACCGGTCTTCAGCTCTTCTTTTCAATTGGAGAAATGGATGGTCTGGAGGTAAACAACCAACCAAGGGACTGATGGTCCTACATGGATGTTCAAGGGATCGAGGCGAAGGAGGATTTCGTTTCACGGAACCTGGTTTCCATGCTGAACCAACCAGGGCCGACCCCGATCATCTATTTTGTCCAGTCATGTCCTGTCTGTCATGTCTCTCGGGAGGTCACTTACCTGCCGAATGTTGGAGCGTTCAAGGAAAACAAACATCGCAAGGCTCGAAAAAGACCCTTCACTCCCGATTGTGCCACCTTCAATCTTTCCAAGATTGTCTCCTGGCGCCCTGGAATATGATGACATGTTGTGGCACTTGTTGTGGCATGCTGTTGATGACGAAATACTTGCAATCCTATCCCGAAACAACAAACGTTTTTACAGTCCAAGTCACTGCAGCTTGGAAGATCATCTGGCGGCACAGAAACACCAGGTTCCACACGGGTGTGTGGAGTGTTCTTCCAACATGATCAGTCCCAAACAAACGACATTTGTGGGACTGCCATATTCATGGAGAAAAAGGCTAGGGGTGGTTGAAAAGGGGACAATGGAGGCATATATTCCATACATGGAGTGTCTGGAAGTGGAATATGCTAGCTTATTCATGTTTATTCTATCACCTAGACTAACAAGCCCTTAGATTTGGGTTGTGCGGCTGAGTGACACATCAATACCTTTAGTATTTAGACTGCAAACCCAAATGCAGGTGAGCTGGGAACATCATTTGCCTACTTGTCGTGTCGAGTGGTTGCTATGGGTTGTTTGTGTGGTAGAGCTAAACAAACCTCGCCAAACTGATAACAAACCTGAGTGTTTCTAGAATTTTTAATGGACTATATGACGACTATATAACTATATAATACAGGCAAAGATCGTTGTCAAGTGGGATGTTGGTCTGAACATGTGATTTTGGGATCCTTGTCACAGAAACGGTGACATTGAGGGTGGCATAGACTCCACGAAGTAGATCATCGACCAACTTCCAGCAAACCCAGCTGACTCAAAAATGCCAGGCTTGCCAGGCCGAACGCGACCTTACAAGGACCAACCGGGCCAAACCTGTCAAAAACACAGGCATTGGGTTCTACATGCTTCTACTAAACCACTTCTGGGCACTGAATTCCTTAAGTCCAAACAAACAATTTTTAGTACACCCGGGACAATTAACATGCAAGTTGAAAATTGACCTTTGAAAAACTACATTCCTCTACAACCAACAGTTTTCAGGTTCCATCTGGGCCTCTTCCAGGGCGTAAGTTCCGCAATGTCCCTCCGTTTGCACGCCTCTGGGTCCTTCTTCAAGAGTGGATCTGCCATCCGGAGCACCGTGCCCTGCGACGCCGATGTGGTTGGATTGCTGCAAGCTCCCAAAGAAAGGTCTCCTCTTCAGTGGATGCTCTAGAATATAAACATGTGTTATGAATACATAGATATAAACATATATATAGATATATCTTATCTATTTATTAGTATTTTTACATATACATATGGTTTGTGTGCACTGTGACCCCCTCTTTTTGAAACCAAACATGGTCCCTTCATATCAACACAGGCCAAGTCGGTTCTAGATTCTTGGTATGTAAACAGTATATACACTATACATGTATATATTGTGAATCAACAAAAACATGCCAGCAGGGGTGGGGGAACTCCTTCTAGCTCCAAACAGTTTCCTGCTTCATGGGGAGAATGGATACTCTGGCTCCTGAGTTCCCTCCTGAGCAGCAGCTACGTAATATACCAGAGGTGATGACTTATAATGAGAGAAAGTGATGACCCATGCCACAAACCACAGGACATCCAGGGCGCCGAAAATGGAAACAGGTCGAAAACCCATCTCTCTGCGCATGTGCACGTGCTTTCCAAACCTCCCGTTATGCGTATGTTGCAGTAGTACACAGCCATATCAGATATCATACTACTTATATACAATCATTGAACAAATAATGCAGATATTACACAGATATTTCACGTTGGCAATTGGATTTACTGGGGCAGTTGAGATCTTGGGTCTGCCCCCAAAATGTCCAAGCGCCACCATGACACGCCGCGTTTGCACCAGCGTGTTTTCCTTCCCCCAATGGCACGGACTCACGCAAACGCACTTGCCACCGAGGTCACGCAAAACCGCGTGGCAAGCGACATCAACTTTCGAAGGCTTTAGTTGTTAGTCTAATGAAGAATCACTATTCTAGTGGAGGTTTTTGTAGGGAACAGGAAGACCCTTCGATCTGGAGGTTTTTTTGATACGAGTTTAGTAAATGATCTTATAATATCTTATAATAAAATTTTCCTGGGTGACTTTCTGGTTTTGGTTTTGAAGCTCTTCCCAGGTGACCCTATTTTGGACCCCCCCGATTTCAGGGACCCCCTACAAAAAAGATGCGACCGAAGTTTCCTTCTTGGGGGGGGCAATGTTTTTTAATAGGTGGAAAGGAATATAACTGGGATATCCCAACTAAATCCACATGGGATCCACAGATACAAAAAACAAGGCGACACGGCGGTGACTTGCCGGATGAACGTCCATGGACCGGATGTTCTCTCGTCTAGAGTCGACTCAGGCAGAGCGGCCCACCTGCGGGCTTGCCGCAACGGATCCACTTGGAGGAATGGATCCAAACCAAACTGCACAGAATTCGGAATCCTTCGCAACCGGAACTTACGTTCGCCTCATCGTCTCGCCTCCCCTATTTCCATTCGGCTTTCTCCGTTGCTCCACCCCCCGACCTTGCTTGGCCGATCCAGCCTGCCCGGTGGCCCGGACGGGTCAGTCCGACGGAGCCTCGAGGTGCAACTCCTTCTCGACCGAAGCCAAGTTCTTCCAGTGCTCCAAACGCTCAGGGCAGACCTGAGGCGTCGTCCAGCCGTCGACGAGGTCTTTCGGCGTCGAAAGACATCGACGGCAGGGTGAAAACAGGGTGAACATGTTGCTCATCCTTGAGATGCCGTAAAAACACCAAACAATACCATGGCCATGCCATGTTGGTGTTTCTTTCCAGCTGTCCCATGCATTCGTAGTATTTATATAACGATATATAACGATGTTATTTCAACCCCCACATGAGAGGTGTTACAATCCATGTTTTATGGCGTGAAAAACACAACATCAACAAATGTCAACAGTACTGTTATACTGATATATGTAATATATTGGACGTCTAATATGACTTATTCATCAACAAACATGTCTTTAGACGTCTAATGTAAGTTATTATATGTTTTGTCTTTTAGATTCAGCTGCCGCCTGGACTCTTCGTTCCAACCAAGAGAAAAACCCGGGAGGACTCTTCGGGCCGGGGGGCCGAACTCTGAGCGAAGCGCGAAGAGTCAAAGGAATTGAACACCATGGATTTCTAGAATCCGCCGGTGGTGCTCATTATAGGTCTTAGAAGTAATTTGAACACCAGGAGGGCGTTTTTGTTGGTCCATGATCCAATGGGTTAGCTGAGCTAGCTGTTTCCTTTTCTTTCTACGACTTGGAACACCTTCTCTCCAATTTACAGTGTGAAGATCTGATGCAATTGATATACATATATATATATACAATGATTGATGTCTTTGGTTTCATCAGCTGAGGACCCCAACCTGGAGCCACACCTCTCGGTTCGCTTGCAACTCCTGGCAATCACTGAGATCTCTGTCCTCCATCCACCGGTCCCACTCACGTTGATCCAAGAAAAGTTCCGGAGGCCAAATGTCCAGACGCCACCCAAAACATGTGGAGTCTACATACCCCAGGACTCCCAAGGATGTTTTTTTCTTCCCGTTGGATGATGACGGAGTCCGGAGACTCGAAGCGCGCCGTGCGACGAAGCGACTCGAGGCGCCTTGGAGGCCCAGTGGAAGGCCCCTGGATCGTTCCTCACAGCGGCGGAGACCTGGAAGATTGAGATCTCCGGGGATGACAACAAATGACCCTGAGCTTACGTATGGCGTACTGTATCAGAATGAATAGAAAGAACCCGCCCTGCTTCAAGGGGTCTTTAGAAGTGGCCCTCTGTTGGAGTCACCGTGCTTCATTCTATGCCCAGCCGCCCAGCTTGGGGGTTGTCAGTTGTGCATCTTACAACCACCACCAGGAGTTTATATAACTTACGCGCTTCGAATTCTATTATGATGTTCCTCATCTCACAACTCCTGGCAGGTTCTCTGTTGCAAAAACCCCCAGACCTTTTAAACAAAAATAACAACAATTCCAACCGCTCTTGCAACACCCTCCCTACCCCTTCTGCTGCTTTCAACGGAAACTGGGTGACCACGGCCAGCATGAGGTCGTTGGCGAAGTGTGGTACGAACTCCAAGGCCGAACCCTTCTGCTGCACCGCCTTGTAGGCCTTAACTGAACGGTCCCAGTAGAAGGACGATGTGGGCAACATGTTGTAAAACACATGTCCTGTTAAAAACAAGTGGTTGATGCCATGGGTTGACGTGTTGGTGTCATTTGGTTTCCCTGCATCGTAAGAGGGTTCCATAAGTCATTGGTTTGGAATCGGGTGCGTTTGCTGCAAGGTGGTACCAACATGTTGACTTGTTGCAGGTGGGCGACATCGGGCGGTTGCCGGGGGTTGCCGCAGTGGCAGAGCTGGTTGTGGACCAAAAATGTAGACTCCGGCCCCCTCTCAATCGAACCTGAGAACCACTGTTGTAGAGAAAACGAGTCTTCCAAAGGTCAATGTTCAGGTTCCATGTTAGATATCCCAGGTGTATCTTCCGGTCATCTTGCTTAGGTTCTATGTTGTTTTTTGCATTTGGTGCAGGTCGGTGTGGCAGTTCTGACAAGTGCAATATGTTGGGATACAACCACAAACTTCTATCGGGGTTCCTCCACAAAACCCATGTTAAAGTTGCTGTGGTCTGCCACTCATGCTACATCCACAAGTACTCTGAAACACATTGGCCACAACAAAAATACACAAAACAGTACTAAGCCCCTGTTTCCCGATTGTTTTTTTGCAGTCCTTCTACTACTTTCATCTCGTCCAACCTATGCCCACTGGGCGCCACGCCAAAGAACGATCTTGTTTGAGCTCGGGCACAAGCAGCTCGAGGGCATGGCCGTCCTCCGTTTGTTCCCAAGAGTCTTCTTGAACAATCCTAGTGAAGCATCCTTGCATCTTTAACCGGTTGGTCTATTGCACATGAATTTCCCACGTTTTGCCCATGAAATACTTGCGAGGTACAGTAAACGCTACACTGTTCCTGGCCCAGGGGAGAAACTTCATTCAATTTCATTCAGGTCATATCCGAGCGCGCCGAACGTTTGCTTCAGCGCAAATGTCAGTATGTGTATGCATATATATATATATACCCTGTATCTCTGAAGTGCAAATTTACCGAGTTCATTTGCAAAATTCATTTTGCTTTGAAAAAACTCGTGTATCTGTAGCATCATCGTTGAACAAAATTACGAACACTTCCAAACAAGATTGCGATGGGAAGTATTCCCCGACGAGTGTTAATTGTGACTGTTGTATTATTCTGTGATGGGTGTGTGATTTTTGAGATAAATATATTTCCCGAACTCGTCTCACCATACACTGGAGTCAATTCTTTTTGGCTGCGCGACATGTTTCCAGGCGAACCTGAAAAGCTCACATCCGAGGGAATTCCAGGTATAGTGTGCCTGGGATGCACGTCTCTCAAAATACACAACAACCACATACAACCACCAAAAGCAAAAACCACCCTCCCCGTTCTCAGTCTCTCCCTTCGAGACCGTTCCCCACCCCCCGGTGTCTCTCTCCACGTCTCCTGGGTGACGGCGACCCGAGCCAACTGGGCGCGGCAAATACGACGGAGCCGGGGGAAAAGAGCCAAAGAACAGAGCTCAACCAACCCTAGAAGTCCAGGCAGCCGGTGGAAAAATCCACCGCCCCATGCTTGCCGGACCATCATCTATCAAAAACGCAGCCGACCGTTGGACCCATGGATGCCACGCACATCCATGTGCCCTATAGAAGTCCAGGAAACGACGATTTGGGGCATCACCCAAGGTTTCACTATGCTTGTCCTGGACTGCCAGGCTCGAGGGTTGGAGGGTATGGAAGTGAAACACCACCAGAATGCCATACCTCAGTAAACCATGGGCATTCGATCAGTGAAGCCAGTGGGGTCGACTGTGGGGTCAACCTGCCTGGCCGAGTTGTAGAGTTAGCATGCCAAGAAGCCTGGCTTGGATTGGACTTGACAGGAGGGCTCAAATATAACAGCATCAGAGTTACGAGTTTGAGTCGTTAAAAATATATAAATATTAACCAGCGCCACGGAAGGGATGGTTATTGGATGGAACATACACCCTGTATATCCTGAGAAGGGTGTTGACACCAATCCTTTGTATTTTTAGGTTTTGGCCACGAGCCTATTCTGAGAGGCGTCTGGCGGCGAGAGGGGTTCATGAAGGCATGTTTGAAGGTGGAATCGGGGTGCCTGCGCTTCTGACTTCTGGCGATGCACCTCGAAGCATCCACAGTGCACATTTCCTCGAAAGTCCCAATGGTCTTGTTGGCAATGCTTTGCAGCAGTTGCGAGACCCTGTTAACACTGGCCTTCGTCCAACCCTTATCCTCTTGAAGTGCCCAGGTCGCAAAAAATATCATGGGCTGAAGCGGCTGAAGTAGAAAGCGTGCGCAAAAGCCATGAGGAACAAAGTGTCTTCTAGGGCGAACTTGGTTCGGAACAAAGAGCACACCGAAGTTCCAGCTTGAATGTCAGGCCGTTCCCTGAGGCTACAGATCAGGGAGCCGTTCCCGTCTCTTGTGGAAGTTGGAAACCAATGCCGCGAAGTCAAACTCCCAATGTTTCTCCAGCCACTCCTTGCGCCCCTGAAAATCTTCACGGTAGAAGCATACCAGTTTGTTCTTTGTCTCAAGGGGCAGGGCCGCAAAAAGAGCTTTCTACTGAGTGCTCCCTTTCGAGTCCTGATAATCAATGGCAGCTGAGAGCCTGCCTCTGCATTTCTTGATCTCCGCTGCTCGAAGGGCAAGAAAGTCTCTCAATTTGCCACTGCTAACAGGCACATGGTCCATGGCGGCAGACCATGCTGTCAGCGAGAGTCATCTGGCGAAGACGTCAAAACCATGGTGATGTAAGCCCAGCGTCCGACTTGAACACATAAGTGATCTGAACATGACATGTCATTGCCGCAAGTGTACTGCATTCAAAAACTAGCCTTCCAAGACATTGAACGAAAGCTTGACCTGTGCTGTTTGAGCCTCTCGGGAAAGGACCGCAAGAGGCTAGTGGTTCTTCTTAGACAACTTAGATCGGCTGGGCTTTTATAACTAGTTAACATAAGTAACATAATTAAGATGAAATTACTAAATAGTTATAACTAGTTAGGAAACAGGTTTTTCAAAAAAAATCATTGATTTTCATGTGGCCAAATTTTGTGTATGCCTGTTGGAATGTAAATGTTCTGGTATCCTAAAAGTACTGCACAGGCAAGTGAGCCACAAGGCTAATGTGACAAGCAATAGTGCACAAGAGACCCACAAAGGGCAAATTTCAAAAGGAAGAACCGCAAGAGAGTCACAAAGGGCTAATGTGGAAAAGGAAAAACCACAAGAGAGCCACAAAGGGCTAATGTAGAAAAGGACAAGAGAGCCACAAAGGGCTAATGTGAAACAGCGCAACAAACTCCAATGCCTTTTCATGCTTTGTGAAACTGAAGCATCATCTTTGCATGTGAAGGAACCAAGCAGGTGATGCCTCCTTCAGAGGACTTGGAAAAGGTCATAGGGGCTTTCCACTGCTTGGCAATCTACCAAGAGCATATTGGTATGTGTGCTGTCACACTTGATTGCATCCAATTTGGGCAAGCGCTCGACCAACGCATACTCTTCTAAAATGGCTATCACTTTGCCCAGGTCCAAGAAAGCTTTGATGCATCCACATTTGAAAGGAAAACTTCTGGAGGCAGGATCACTAAGCAACACAACATCACCCACAGAAGCAGTCATACCATTTGCAAGCTTGCAAGAATGAGCGCAAAAGCATTGCCCACTTTCTCCAACAACCAAATTGTTTTCATAGAGAAGCTGCTTCAATTTCTTGTCAGGCTTCTTGGGCTTGACAAGGGCACAACCATCTTGAAACCAGCTTTGACCTGCACTTGTCAAACTAGCGACCTGCTCACAAAGAAGTTCCTTCATAACAAAGTGGTCGTATACTTTCATGTTGCAACAGTTGGTGCCATACCTCCTGATAGACTTGCGCTTCCTTTCTAAGCTCCAGCATGCTGGCAGGCACTTGAAATGCTTCAAGGCCCTGGGCCAATGTAATGGCCAATGCATTTTTGGCCTCATTTTTCAGCCCACCCACAGGCTTTTAAAAGCGGTAAAAAATCTTCCACCACATCTTGCAACACTTGTGGGTCAGCTTCTTGCATGAATGGTATGGACACCATAAAGTCAAGAAGTGTACACCAAGACAGGAAACGCAGGCATTCCCTTTCCAAGAAATTGTTGGCAAGGCAGCATGTGTGTAGGAAGTAAGCCAGTGGCCTGTAGAGACTTAGCATTTCACTTGCACTGCGCTTGATATATTTGCTTGCTTTGTGGCTCTCCACAGCCTTAGGCAGAAAAAGCATGAAAGGCTTGATTGCTTTGAAAGAATCAGGTGGTACCCAAAGCTGCAAATATTCAGGCAATGTTGTCCATATGTTGGTCATTCCCTGTAGGCACAGCTCATCAATCAGCCAAAAGGCAATAAAGCACATTGCACCTTTGCTGCAGAGTGCATGCATATAGTCGTGGACATATGAGGTTGTTGGGTGCAAGAGGCCCACCTCATTCAAAGATTCTGACAAGAGTAGGGCATGGTTTGTGTAGTCCACACCAGCAACCTGGCACCAGACCTTCCACTCACCTTTGTTGACTGTGTCTTTTCTAGCTTTCATCCTCTGCCATGACTGTAAGATGTCATCATCTGCGGATAAATCCAAGTCCTTCAGCTTTAGGTAGTTTGCCAAAGTAGGTTGCTCTTCTTCTGGTGGTCCTTGCTCATCATCTCCAGCTGCATACAAGGCTTTTGACAAGAAGATGTTCTTTCTTGCACATCATGCATATCCTGGAGCCTCCATCTTGCCTGTTCCCAAAAGTCATCTTATGGGCAGCACTGTCTTGCAGGAACATTGATACAGTCCAGTATAAAACCATATGCTCACCCTCTGCATTTTTTTTGAAAATTCAGTATTGGGTTTGCCACAGGGCTGCAGAACATACACTCCAGGACTAGCTTGAATATCTGCCCAATGGAGCTTGCCAACTGGTTGACAACACTTGACCTGCAAATGAAGACTGGCATCCAAACAACTTCTCTTGACAAGTGCCTGCCATATTCAAGGCAAGCCATATATACATATATGGTCCACACCTTCCTTGAACTTGTTGAGAGTTGGTGGCCTGGATGCACCTCGTCACTGTAGAACACAGCCCTCCATGGCAGGCCAGCAGAGCTGGGTGTATGAGAGTGCACCTTCTCAAGGAAAGCTTGAAAGCAGCCTCCTGCATTGAACAGCCCAGCCAGAAGAGATTGAATGTTGATGTGTATCACACTGATTGCCTTGCCAGTATTTGCTCCAAGAAGCTTGTTGCTAGCCTCCCTGAAGTTCTTCTCTGAAGACTGCTCAGGGAGCCCATGCTGTCTCACTCTTTCCAGGGTTGCTGACAAAGCAGCTTGGGAGCAATGTGGTAAGCCTTTTCAAAAATCATTGAGCTTCCTATGCTTGGAATCACTCCCCACATTGGTTGCCATGGCTCAGCCATGGATGCATTATATACATAAAAGAGGGATGAAACATATGCTGTGGCACAGATTGAGCATGATTGAACACGTGTTAACTGCTGGAAGAGTGGCTCTGCAAAAATGTTGAAAATTGAAGTTGCTGCTGGTGGTCAGTCATGGAAGGCCTTTGGCCCAACCTGTTGCGCGCTTGTTGAAGGGATTGCGTTGCTTTCCTGTGGGGGGCACCATACTTATCAACAGAGCAGTGAGCCCAGCATCCAAAGCATAAAATTTGTTGAACGTGTTAGTTGAGGGCCCTGGAAGGCTAAACTGAACAAGTGAAGCATACAACTGTGGAGAGCCAGGACAGGCTAGTTGCATTACAGCTTTGATGCCACCACAGTCCCAAAACCTTGGCCACGCAGGCTGATGTAAAACAGTGCGCCATTCCAGGCTAATCTGGCGCAAGGCGCGTTCCCCCGTTCCCCTGCAAAACAAGGTCTCTAGCTGCTCTAGCTCTTTTTTCTTCAGACGAATCGAAATCAATCTGTGAATGTTCACACTTTCTCGGCGCATTTCAAATCTATTTCGCCCACAACTGTCGCTGGATTCCGCTGTGGAGCCTGTTCGGGACACGCAAGCAGAATGCTTTTCTGGCATCGCTACTAGGAGCAAGGACGCTACAAGTAAGTCGCCAAGAATGCTTCTAGATGTGCCGGCTCAGGGCTCCCAATGTTGAGACAGAAGGCTGCTGATAGATAAAACAATAATTTCTACCCCAAACTGGTCTCCTACAAGGGAAGACAGACCCTTGACAGAATGGGCTCCAGCAGCTCCAGCAGGGCTTCTGTATACTTGTTCAATATTATTGAAAATTTTGGGACCGTCTGTCTGTCTGTCTGTCTGTTTGTCTGTCTGCCTAGTGTGTCTGTCTAGTCTGTCTATGTCTGTGTTCTCTATTCCTTCCTCCTGTGATGGGTGGTGGGAGGCCCATGAAAATGATCCTTTCCTGGATGATGACCAACCACCACCTGTGCCAAGTGCAATGAGGGGGTACAACTGGTTCAACTCTTCAACAGGGGGTACAATTTTTTCAACCATCCCAGGCATCTTGGCACGAAAGGAAGACCACCAATCAAAAAAATTGAGCCATCCCATTCTCAAAACTTGGTCATGTCTAACCTTGACCAATTCCCCAAAGGGGGCCCATCTAGACCTCTGAATGCAGCTGGTGCGACACTGCAATCAGTGTTACAGGCTGGTTTGGGGGCTCACCTAGTCTAGTGGGACTGCCAAACTTAAGTATGGAGAGGCCTGAACACTGTTAGAAAAACAAAGAATTCACTCACAAAGGTCAACCCCAACTACAGGCCTCTCACAGGTCAAGATGTTTTGGCCCAGGTGGATCACACAGGACAACGCGAGGATGTCTAGGGACACAGTCAGGGATGTCCATAAACCACCCTTTCCGTGGTGCTGGTATATTTGTATTATAATGTATCATAATGTATCTATACGTGTTTTATACTTGACAGGGATCTTTATGTATGTTCTCAGATGTCCGTTCTTTGCAATCCTGGACACGGAATCGACAGAAAGTCCATAGAACATCCCACCATGTTCATCCATCAGTGTAGGCACCCATCCCTATCGCAGCTTCTCTGGCTGCCTCACGATCCTGCTTCAAGTCCGGCGACAGGAATTCGTAGGCCAACCTGGGACACGATGTGGTGAGTCATGAGCAAGGCAGGAATTATGTACGGCAGGGTGGACGAAGACCACACAGCACTTTCTTTCTTGCGTGGGAGAATATGTGCGAAATGCATGTGCTTTCTCTCTCTCTCTCTGTGTTTGTGTGTGTGATGCCACCATTCCCAGAATCCGCAGGGTTGCTCCACGTACATATACAAACTCGAAAGCAACGGCGGGATCGGGGTCTGTGGCAAGGAGCTGTTCTATACTGTAGTCTTGTTAAAGTGAGCTGATTTTGCTTACAGTCCCGGTGTTGGGCGTTTTTCTTCCTTTCCTGCGGGTGTCTCACCGCCAGGAACAGTCCTACACCGGCTCCAAATCCGCTTCATCCGCTGCCGGCACGCCCCACGCACCCCCCCCGTCGACGAGACGCGCGCGCTCCGCTCCGCGGCTGTCTTTTTCGGCGGCTCCTGGCAGCGGCCGGGCGCGTCTGGGACCCGCTCTTTTTCGACGCCCGCCGCCCGAAGCACTCGGCGCGGCGGCGGCGTCTCGTCCTGGTCCCGGTCGATCTGTCTAGCTGATCTGCGCAGCGTCTGTCGATTCGGGAGGACATGGCCGTTTGGAGGTGTGTTGGACGTGACAGGAAGAGTTTGTGCTTGGCGATGCTTGTTATAGCATGGTGAACCCGTGAGCTCGTGAACCGGAAGATTGGATGTAGATCACTCCTGGCTTGAAAAATGTTCAAGCTTCCAAAGAAAGAAAGTGCCACATCCGCAATGGAAAGTGAGTTCCCCAAATTGGGCGACTCTTGAGAGGAAGGGCACATGTGTTTTATTGGGTTTTAATGCATTTGCGATCAGGGAGCAAAACCCTGGGCGTTCGGGCAAATAGGGATCTTGTTTCGAACAAACATGCCAGGGACAACAAGAAGGGCACGTGCACTCCTGGGAGCCTCCCTTGGAAAATCCTGAAAATCTTATACATGTTCATACAGTGTTTCTATTTGGTGACTGCATGTGACTACCATCACAGCAAACTCCTTTTCGGCTTTTCGCATGAACAGGCTGCTGCGTCGACCAGCGCATCGACCAAGCCGGTCCGCTTCGTTAATCGGTCGACCACCACCGGCGTGGAGGGGCCCCGGACGAAGCCGCAGCATCCAACAGCCGCAAAGCTGTTTTGGGCTGTGACTCCGGCAGTGCATTATTCAATATATATGCTCAGTCTTCTGCGCCACAGATCAGCTCCATCTCCCATTCAGAAACGAATCTGACCAGAAGTCGTGTGTGGTGTTCTTGGGGAGAACACCAGTTCTGACTGGTTGCTAACAGAAAGCCTAGCCTTATCATGACCCTGACCCAGTCATATTGACCAAATGCTGCAAGGATGCACAAGTGGATAAATACTGGGCCCTGTTTGGAGACTGAAGCAATCTATGCAGCTGGGCAGAAACGCGCAGTGATCGTCACACTCATCGGTACTGGAGCGTCGTCAACCTCAGCTTGTGTCTAAGGTTGGAGGCATGGATTCGGAGTCAAATTGTAATCGTTCATGAGCCCGCGGTATACGATCAAATCGAAGAGAGTGAAATTGTAATCTTACCATGGAGTCAAAGCGACGAGGAGAGTGAAAAACCATCCAATCGGACGGGACCAAGCCATCGCCCGTCCGCCGTCAGGGCCCATCGCCCGTACGCCGAAGACACAGAGAAAGACGAAGGCCATCCCGTGGTTCTACGGATTTTCCGACGAGTCGAACGTTGTTCCTGTCGAAGGGCCAAGTGCTTGTACCCAAGTGCTTGTAGGATGTCTCCTATCCCATACACGACACACGGGACTGCCATATATGCCGATCAATTGACCCCACAAGCCACCCCAACTGATCGGCATATATGGCATACATGGAGCGTCTGGGTATGGCTTACAATGGTTTCAGAGCAGATGGCACAATCCCCAATGTCGGTGGTTTATGTGGACCCCCATCCAAAGGACATCTAGGGGTTTGTGCCATCTACTCTGAAACCACTGTAGAAATAGGGGCCACCTGGAAAAACAAATAGTATAATGATTGTCGTGGAATGACATGACGCAAAAACCTCCCAGGGTCCAATGGATTCTTCCACACCCCATACCATACCCAAGCCTACCCGTATGGGTGTGTATTAAAACAGAGAGAGAGAGAGAAAGAGAAAGAAAGACCTCCCAGGCGTTCCGACCCCATGGGTTCGGAACGCCGTCAACTCGTCTACCCCGCGGATCGGGTGTGCGGTGTCTATGGGGTGTCTCCCTATTGGTCATCCAGGTGCAGGTTGCGTTGATCAATCCCAACCTCGCCAGGGCACAAGGTCACCAGCCAACGCTTGGTCGCCGGGTCCTCCTCCTGGACGGGATGTCAAGACTGGTCGATCTTGATTCCACGTACAAAAGACAGACTGTCTGTGGACATGAAGGGACATGAAGGGACTATATAGAAGGGTTCAATGATTTAAACAGAAACTGTCCACTCTTAGAGTGTATGGTTTTGCTGTGTAGGGGCAATATCGTACAGTGATTCTTCAACAAACCTAAGACAATTCCCTGTAGACCTTCCAGGGTCTGCTCTTATGTTTGCTCAGGGAGACAACCAGCTCAAGGCCAAAGTGCGAAGAGCTTCCACATGGTTCCACTTAGTCACTGACCTGACAGCTGCAAAAACCAGCCAAACATGGTCTATCTGCACATCTTACTTCAACCGGCCCCTAGTCCCTCAAAGCAAACATCTCCGGACCCCGGCACGAACTTGTGAGTGGGACAGCCTTCTGGTGTGCAGCTGCAGAGGCGCCCCGACTCTTGTTGCATCAACAACAGCCCTTCTGGCAAATTTTTCTTGACACACCACCAAGACCCATGTGTTCAAGGCTGTTCAAGTGGGTGTGTCTTGAAATAGGGAGACCTCCCACAGACTCCTTGCCAGAAGGGAAATAGAACAAAACCAATTGGGCCCGGGTCTCCCTATTAAAATACACACCCAAGTCTTCTGTGCAAGATCTTGTCACGTTGCTTAAGAGTTACGTTGAGTTACAAGGTCTTGAAGCTTTCAGTCGAAAACCCAGGGACCATCCACAGTCGGAATCGGGAGTGGGGCTGCGGCTGACAGGCAGGTCCAAATTGCCCCGGTCCACCTGAACTCCTCACCACAACCAACAAACATATTTCAAACAACATCCACTCACAGCACCCGGCGAAAACGCCATCTCTGGTTGCTCGAAACATGTCAAACATATGGTTCGAGCACCAAGAAGCTAAGCTTGATAGGATCGACTCCGGCAAGCGCTGCAAACTTGGATCCGATTGCAGGCCATCGGGCAAACAGGTCCTGAGAGAAGGACGGAAGTCTGATGCGCTGATGGTGGATGAGTTCAATGAGTGGTAGCTTTGGGAAAAGAAAGAAACTCCGTAACACCAGCAGGATTTTGTTGGAACAAGGGAAATTATATACATATATAATATATATATATAATTATATATATATCCGTGGAAGGTGTCTTTGTACATGGGAAGGCCCTACTTACTACTTATATATTCATATCTGTTTGATTGCTTGAGGACTCAGGGAGGGGTCTTGCGAGCCTTGTCCTCACGCAACCAGGAGGGAAGGATATGGGGAATGGGGAAGTATAGCCTTTGGAGGGTCTCTATAACTGACCCTTTAGATGCTTAAGTCACTTATATAAGTGGCCTCAATCTGGGATCTCAAAGAGTCATTTTGAAGAACCAGCGAATTGGTCCCTCAAGTCAACGGTACTGGACGATGATAATGGATTGATATGATTCATATGGGAAAGGACCCTTGTTCCCTTGGTCAAAATTTATTGAGACATTCCGAGATATGCAGGGTATGGCCTCAAGAAGAGGGTGCCCCGCACACCCCCAAGACCTTTTCAGCTTTGGCTCTTCAGCACCTCCTTGGCAATGGCAGAGTCACAAAGCCTCAGGTAGCAGCGCACCACATGCTTCAGCAGCCGGATCGATGGCAGCTGCACAAGGACCTGCCGACGCTTGCGTCGCTCGCGGCACCTCTCACGACCTCCACCGACTTCCCACGAACCGGAGGGAGCGAATTCAGACGTAAGCAAGCCTCTCTCAGAAGTAGACCCTTCTTGCTTTGAAAGGAGATGTTGAACCAGGGTCTGTGTTTCTCCACATCTTTGATCAATGTTTGACATTGAACTTCACTGAATATGAAGTCATGGGTGACAGTTTTTTCTTTTTTTTTCGGGATTTGGGGACCTATCGCTTTACAATGGTTTTTGGTGCACTTTCTCAACACAACTGCCCCCTCCCTAAATACCAAAGTGATCGATGCCGACGCTTATTATTCACACCTGCAGAGGTTCACATTGAATCTTTGAATCTGAGCCCTGCCCATCATGCCGAGGTGGAGTTCAATCCAAGAAGACCGGAACTACCGCAGTTCTGCGAGATCTCCGAGATCGTTCAGGCCGCAGCTCTGCGCTTCTTGTGATTGTCCACACCCTGCAGAAACTGAAACTGCCCCAGTAGACCCGAAGGTGGGGCTGCTCGGTAGAAAAAACTATACACAGAATAAAATTGAGAGAATATGATAGAATAGTCATGGAAACGATGTCCAGATTAATATACAGTACAGTACATGTTTCATCATGTTCATCATGTTTCGCATGCTTGCATGTGGCATCCAAACACCAAACCCAACCCGTTTCCCGCTTCTTAGAGAACACAACAAAAAACCACCGGACACCAAAGAGGTGTGTGTGCTGTGTGTTTTTTGTCCCGACCGAACCAGTTGTCGTGATCCGGTCCCGGGGGGACTCGCCTCCACCATCTTGGCCAAGACTTTTGCGACGGCATAGAAGCGCTCGGCAGTGAAGCAAACGTATTGCCTGGGAGCACGAGTTTTGAGACCACGCGGAAAGGCACCAAGAGAGGCACCGTGAAGTTAAGAGAGAATGGGACGATCGAAGAATTGTTTTTCCCTGGCTGCACCCTCCAGTGGTCACGCTGCC